TGTTTCTGGAGGGGCCTTTTGGACACGCAATATATATTGATCGGTTGAAATGTTTTTAAAGTTAGCATTAAGTAAAATAGATGGGGAAGGAACTTTCTAGTTTTCAGGAGGATATGAACTTTAACCATGAATCAATGATTCTTTAACTTCAGGCATTCCAGAAAGATCTCTGCAGATGAACAAAGACATCTCCTTACCTCTATTGGGTCAGGCACTTCAAGTCTTGTTTCTGGAGGGGCTTTCACAACTATAACAGTTTGGTCTTTAAGGCCACTAATTTTTCGAATATCTTGATATGTAGCATAAGCTAACGTAACGAGTGTTAAGGAAATCTTCCAACTAATTGCCTCAGATAACCATTATGAGATTAACAAAATAGACGCATGGAAAAATTTTGAAGTATTTTATGATTTATAAGATTATATCTGTTTTGCCTTCTAGATCTTTAAATATATGGGATCTTCTACGAATCTTGTTTTCTGGGTGATATTCTAAACAACAAAAGAAATGCATATCTTTTTCCTGCCCGTTTTTAAAAAGTCCATGGCTTAAAATATTAAAATAAACACAGAAACAGCAAAGTTAATTTAACAAAAGAAAACCAAGGCCCCGCTGCGGTGGCTCAGTGGTTGAGCATCAACCTATGAAACCAGGAGGTCATGGTTCGATTCCCACTCAGAGCACATGCCCAGGCTACAGACTCAACCTCCAGTAGGAGGTGTGGAGGAGGCAGCTAATCAATGATTCTCTCTCATCACTGATGTTTCTATCTCTCTCTCTCTCCCTCTTCCTTCCTCACCGTCGTAATCAAAAACATTTAAAAAAATAAAAATATTTTTAAAAAAACAAAAGAAAGAAAAACAAGACCCATTTGGTCCAGGATTTTCAAACCAGGTTCCTCTGGAATGCAGATATTCCCTGAGTTCCCATGAAGTATACTATCACTCAAATCGAATGATGGCAGAACCCAATTTACAGGAAAAAAGTGGTAAGCTCTATTAAACATAGTTTTTTGTAACTTCCAAAAACTTCTATCTTCTACTTGACTACTAGCAAGTGTCAGCAGTCACCCAAATGCATGAATGAATGAATTAGTAGCAAATAGATATATTAGTGGAAGAACTCAGAATACTGTGGAGGCAGGCAATATATTTTCTTAAGTGTACATGGGCTGGTTGTGATTATATATTAAGAGTGTCAGTCCTTCTTGGTTAGAAAAATTATCCTTTATATGATATTATTAACTCTATCAATATTTCAGTGTTCACGAGGAAGAAAGTGGCTTCCAGATGGTCTGCAACCTGAATGAATATGAGAAACACTGATTTAGGAAAAGAGAGTAAAATAATATTCAGTACGCCTGGTCGTTACTTCTGAGCACTGAACAGTTCCTTTAAGGGCCTGGGCAGCCAAACCTACAAGGATGCCATGAAAGAATATGGTACTTATTATATGATAAAAGTATCCATGCAAGCTTGCCTAGATAGACAAGCTTTTTACTTGGCACTAAGAGAGAACATGTCGCATGGCTTTCTTATAAGGGACACGGAGTAACATAATGTACAATGTCCTTACCCAGCAGTTAAAAAATGGTAATCCACCATAGAAAATGCACATAACAAAACAGCACATCACAATTCAATGAAGGCATTGCCATGGGTAATATAATGTAGCTAACAGAGTCTATGATCTAACATGTTTAACACAGAAACAGGACTTAGTGAACCTAGAGAAAATAATATCCCCCAGAATAGTAGCTTTTTACTAGAAGTCGAAGGAAGCTATGAACCCATTCATTGGGGGAAAAAGCACATCCACCCCAATCTGCACATACATTTATCACGACGACCTTCTTTAAATCTCAATAATTGGGACAACAGCCAATTAACTGGACAGCTCAAGCAGGATTCCAGGTTTTAGGTCACCATTTATCTCATCAAGAAAGACCACTGATACCATTATAAAAGTGTTGACATGCCCTGGCTGGCTGGCTCAGTTGATTGGAGCATTGTCCAGTATACCAAAAGGTTGCGGGTTTGATTCCTGGTCAGGGCGTGTGAGGGAGGCAACCGGTCCATGTTTCTCACATCAATCTCTCTCTCTCTCTCTCTCTCTCTCTCTCTCTCTCTCTCTCTCTCTCCAGAAATGTATCCTCAGGAGAGGATTAAGAAAAAAGAAAAAGTCTTAGAACAGCTTTGAATTTTTACTGAGAACACTGGGAAAACTGATAACCAGGTCCTTACACCATAGGCCACTGTCAAAAAACTATGTGACAAGAACTCAGTAAAATAAAAACTCATCTACAATTACTCAACATGCTGCAGGAAAGAAAATTTCAACACATTTGTGAAAAAGCTGTACCAAATTTGGAACTGAATGGCAAATGGAAATAAATGGTGCAAACATATTCTCTAATCTTATAAACTTAAAAGTGCTTCCACGGTGGCTCCCTCCTGAATTTGCTTCTTGGGTTAGCAGCCCCCTGCAAGGTAGCTTTCATTCCCTGCAACAAAGGCTGCAGAGAAAGCTAATGTAGGTGACAATGCCATAAGCTACAAGCTGCCAGTCATTTGTAACTGCCACATCTCCTCGCTGGGGCTCCCAACTAAACAATGAGTGAAAGAGCCCGACAGCCATTCTTGCTTCTTCCCCTGTCAGCCCACTCTGGCCACCATTAGGGGTTCATATCAGCACAACTCTTTCTCCATATCACTAATCATCAGCTGACAAGGTTAATCTTTTGGTCAAAAAGAAATAAACAATTGCTGTTTCAAAAAAATTACCTGAATTGGAAAGTAAATGTCCTACACCCTCTAAGGGAAAGCCTATTGGAGAGGAGACACGAGAAGAACGTGGGCAGGACACATTTTATTTCCTGTCTCACAAAGGTAAATGTGGAATAATCGAAGTCTGGAACTAAAATTAGAGATGGGGTAATTTAAAATATTGCATTTGTCTTCTACTAATAACTGAGAACATTGAAAAATCTTCTTGCCGAAACAATGAAGCAATCTCCCTAATCTTTTGTCTGACGTGAGATGATGAACAGTAAGCTGTACTGAGATGGTCACCAGACTGTTAGCCTACAGAGAACAGAAATTGGCTTTCTATATTTTTATTTCCAAGAACTACTGTTTGCAGATGAACAAATATATTGAGATTTCTTGGGCCTTGTGGTTCTTCTGAAATTAGTTTCTGGTGTTGTGAATCAGCCTAATGCTCTCTAAAACTTATAGAATAATTTTTTATACTCAATTTCTTCAGCTATATAGCTCAATCAGACAGATTCAACAAATTCAATTGCTCCAATAGCTGATGAAAAGAAAGTAGAATGTGAGAACCCCAACAGTGACAGCTAACACCCACCCAAAATCTGGGAAGCCAAAGATGAATCTGTGGAATGTTGTCATTAATATTAATATTGACACCATTCGTATCCTATAATAGTGTTGCCTTACGCAATGAGTGTACCATATGTATCAACCACACATGAATTTAAAAAGTTCCCTCCTTGCTGTAAAATAGACATAATAGATGATTATCTTTCCATAACTACTGACTTCTAATACAAAGTGGGTTCACACACACACACACACACACACCCCACGCATGTGCATAAAACCAAAGTAAAAGTCTACCTTGTGCATAATAGTCAGATTGTCAACTCTGGAAATAGTCTAGAAAGCACTAACCCCCAATGACCAGGTGGCACAAAGGATATCTTTGATTCTCTGAATCCTCGGTTAACAGTTTGAGGTCCAGGGTGCAGCTTTGGATCAGTTCATCTAATTTCTTCTCTTCCTGACTGAGCTCGGTCACTTCCTTTGACAGGCCTTGACACTGGGCCAGCATGCCCCCATCCTCAGACAGACTGCAGCCCCTAGAAACCCAAACACAGACTCTTCATGGCTATGGAGAGGCCAGCGGGAGGAGGGGAATGAACAAGCAAGGGCGGGCAGGGAGAAATGATCCTTTGGGGGAGTGTCCCTTTCTTGACATAGGAGGTCCCAGTGCTTGTTTGCCAAGTGTTAAAATTAGAACATTTATACATATATATTTTTTATACGTATAGTCCTTCACTTTTCATACCATAGAGATTAAGTGAAAAACCACTACTATTTCAGCTTTCTTTCCTACAGAGGAGGTCTGTGTCTGCAGAAGGCTCAAATTCATAGGGCAAAGAGGCAGCTCCTTCCTGCCACATGCCTCCCAGGGGTGGGGGTGGGGTGGGAGGTGGAAAGCAGGTAGGAAAACACAGAAAGATAGAACAATTTGAAAGAAAAGATAGAATGATTCAAAATTCAACAAAACATCATCCAACAAGCACAAAAGGCCTTGGTAATTTCTGGGGGTCTTATGCCAACATATAAAAAAGAAAAGCAGGTTAAGAAAACAGATACAGGAACTGAGACATTTGATACTTGCCTTAATTTATTCAAAAAGTGAGTTAATCTGCTGTGAGAACCATGGATAAAGATAGTTGGTGACTGTGTATACTGAGATATGTTAATACACAGCCATAGTTAATTTCCAAATTCCTGTTGGAGTTAGGACATGTGCAAGCATTTATGAGATTACACACATGGACTTCACCGTATCAAATGAACAGCATCCTACTTTACACCTACAGGACCCTAATTAATCCCAGGACCTCCTTGCTTATAGCTAATGAAATAGAAACTCTTTTTTATCTCGGACAGTATCTAAATAGGTCTCTTCCTAAAGAGACTTTGAACTTGTGGCTAAGGAGTTGAGGAAGGAGAGACAGGAGGTGAGAGAAGAGAGTAGAACAAAAAAAATGAAGTGTGGGCATGAATGTGAAAGTTAGGATGGAGAGGAAGCTCAATGTTTGAATGGACCCCCATCAGAGCCAGGGAATGGGGTGGGGGTGCGACTCATACTCACATCCATTGCACGTTGTTTTTAGACTTCTTCTTAATGAGGTGGATGCCTTCCAGTACATTGGTGATATCATAAATCCTTCTCTTTTGCACTTTCAGCACCTCTGCTGCCTTGTTCAAATCCAAGACCCCATCAGGTGACTGGCTCAGGAGCTGAATGAACTTCTTGGTGAGCAGACCAAGTGATGTATCATACCGTGTTTTTTCTGAGGGAGATTTTGGAGCTTAAAGAAAAACAAAAACCAAGCGGGTGGGGGGTAGGGGGGAAGGTAAAGAAATGAGGGGTTTCTTTGCAGTTGAGCAAGCCCCATCTCCCACTGCAGCCCAAGTATTAGTATCAGAAGCAAAGCCATTTCTGTCAAGTTACGTAGAAAGCTATGAAACTGCTTTATTAGAAAAGGAAGGGACAGTTAAAATTCCTGTTTGTGAATTTCTCAGTGGTTTCTACTTTGGTTCATCCTATTCCCTGGAGCTAGTAAAGTATCCCACACACAGTAGGTGCTCAAAAATGTCTGATGAACGAATGAGAAAGTGCTGTAGCCCCATGGGATCAGCACACGTGGAGTCTAACCCCATGGGGACAGGTGACGCATCTCCCCAGCATTTCGTGCCGGGCTCAGACAGACCCACTTCAGCTGGCCTTTCAGGCTCCCGGGTTGTGTGTGTCTGTAACTTGTTCACCAATGTATCCGATGATGCTTCATTTGGATGAAGACTTTCTGGACCCTGGACGTGTCTTTCAATCGTCTCCCTATCCCACTTGAATAAAATTTCTTATTTAATATTGTGCCTATTCTCTTACAGGTCACAGGTCAAGGATTTAATGTAGCAGTACACACAATCTGTGGATTTTCTAATACAAAAACTACAGGAAAGGTGAGAACAAAGTCTAACGAGGCCAGAGACATAAAGGACTGGCTAGCCATCTCCGACCTACTTTCCTCTCTCCCAGAAGAAACAATGATCATATCAACGGAAAGGAAAACTAGCAGCAATTCATTGGGCTCAACCAATTCTTATGCTGCTTTATGTTGAGCTAGAGATTTAGACCGACACAGACATTTGTGACTCTGGCACAGTTCGTCTACACCCACTTAGCCTCAGTCTCTGAAATAATGTCCGTTAAAGAAGGTTAAAATTAAATTTGATTATAGAACGGAACAAGGAGCTTATATTCCAAGTTGAAAAATGAAACTGCACATATTTCAAGAGGCCTCCCCTTAGGTCAGTATTTAGGCACTGGAGTGACTCTGTAAACCTTTCGCTGGGTGTCTGCAGACACTGTATTTACTTTTTGGATAGGCACAGAAAGAAATGACAAAGAACAAAACATGCCAAAGTTTCTCACACCTTGGCACCCTTCCAGCCGCAAGCTTTGAAAGTTGGGAGCCCACACCACAGAGAATCAGAGATGAAAGAATCCTTACTTTTGGGACTGTCTGGACTTCGCAGTGCAGCTCTCCCTTTGCCCTTTGGGGTTTTTAAACCATCTGAGAGGTACTGATGACCGCTTTCTCCTAGCTCCAGCCTTCGCTTGGCCTGGAATAAGAAAGTACAATCATTCGTCCCGGTCACATGGACAATCACAAGTGAGGCTGTGTGGGATCTGGCCCCTGCCCAGTGCTGCAGCCTCGTGCCTGCTCGCACACCTTGGCTCCGCTCGCTCAGGGTCTCGCCACTCCCCAAGCTCTCTCTTCATCTGCAAGGATCATCCGTACACACTCAGACGGACAAATCCGGCAGTCCTTTAGGATTAGATCCAGGCACCACGTTGTTCATTTATTCACTGATCCAACACATGTGCCAGGCACGGGGCTAGATACTGAGAATCCAGCAGGCACCATGGAACTGAAATAACTTTCCCCCAGTGAGCCTTTGCTGCCTCTCTCCATCTCTGACCTGGGTTGGACCCCTTTGTTGTGCTTCCCCAAACACCCTGTGTTTATGTGCATCATAACACTTATTAGATATAGGAGTTATTTTACTAATCTGTTTCTCATTTCCTTTCAGGCAGGGACTGTTTCCCATTTATCTTTGTATATACCTAGTGCTCAGCACAGAGCCTGGGTTTCTATAGGTCTTCAATCTCTAAGTGATTGTGGTAACACAACTGGTCACAGACTACAGATGGTCATTCATCACAATAACAAATATTGCCAATACTCAATCTTGGGCTTCAAGTGGTATTATTTCCGCCATTTAGTCACTAAACCTGGCATTTAAATGAGAAGTCCTCATAAAAGTTTTAAATTTATATTCATTTCACTTTAAAATTACCCACTTAGTATCTTCTATGTACTGGGCACTGGACTTAGAGAACAGAGGTAAGGAAGATACTCTACCTAAGGCATAGAGTCCACAAGAGCAGAGAATTAAAGAAATCATTGTTGAGTATTAACTGTATGGATGTGATGGGTGTTTCAGACAGAAGTGGCCCCAACAATACACTATACACAGCAATGTGTATTTAGGTTTATTTTAGGACAGGTTCTTCTAATGTGGGATTCACAATTTCAAAATAACTTCCCATGACACAGAAATGGAAGTAATAATTTATCGGCTGATGATAAATATTCAGCTTCTCTATGAATGTTCAGCAGTTTGTATTGTTCACTACAGTAAGCAACTAGCCACACATGGCTCACTTGGTTGAGCGTTGTCCCATGCACCAAAAGGTCACTGGTTCAATTCCCAGTCAGGGTGCATGCCTGGATTGCAGGTTTGATCCCCAGTAGCAGGAAGTAGCTGATCAGTGTTTCTCCCTCTCCCTCTAAAAAAATCAATAAAAACATATCTTTAAAAAAAGATATGTCTTTGGAGAAATAAAATGCACATTGGATTTTGAAGACAGTACAAAAAAACGGTAAAATATTTTAATTTTAAAATTTATGACTTTAAATTGATAGTATTTTGGTTTTATAAAATAAGATAGAATTAAAGTTATTATTTCACCTCTTTCCTCTCTATTTTTTTACTACGTGGCTTAGTTTAGTGGCACAGATTACCTTTCTATTGGCTAAACATTACTCTAAAGTCCTAAGAATGACAATTCACAAATTTGTTTTTTCAAACTGATTTCCCCCTCCCAAATACTGTCCAATCCTTGTGTGGGCCTGTTATTATGTTTGGCCCAGGAAAATTCCCTCTTCACCAGGCAAATGCCCCCTGATTGTTCTTTGGGGAGTACCCCCCTACCCAGCCTAAGTGCACACAGGTCTGGTCAGTCACTGTGGTCCGTTCTCCCTTCCCTCTTCCCTTTACCCACAGTGGCTGGTTAGGGTGGCACATGACCAAAGCTGGGTGAGCCAAGGCCAACTCTAGGCTTTTTTTTTCTGGAGCTGCTGGCAAGAAGGGGGGTATCTTCCCGGTAAAGCTGATAAGCTGGAAGCCAGAAGCTACCCGAGAATGGAGGCCCTGCAGGGGAGAGCAGAGTGGAGAGATGGAGGGAAAGGGCCCCAGACTCTTCAATTACATTAGTCAAGAAAATTTCCTTTTTGCTTAAAGCACTTTGAGTTGAGAACGCAGGGGAGAGCAGAGTGGAGAGATGGAGGGAAAGGGGCCCCAGACTCTTCAGTTACATTAGTCAATAAAATTTCCTTTTTGCTTAAAGCACTTTGAGTTGAGAACCTGAAAGTGTGGTGTAAGCAATAGCCTGTGGGATTAACTGAGTCTGGTGGGGCTGGCAAAACTGTTGGAGTGGCAGTTGTGTCGGTCACTTCATTCGAGGCTGGCTTACCTAAAAGTAGAGAAGAGTGTTGCCATGGAGGCCATTTTTCTCCATAGAAACTAATCCAAGATAGAGAGCTATGTTCTCTGTCCATGCTAAAGTCCACAGAAGGAAGGCAAGTGGGAAAAGCATTTGGGGCCTGGAACTCGTGTGCCCCTAAGGCCGTATTCTCCCGAATCCTCACAAGAGGGGCCCACCACTGGCCAGCAGCCTGGGGAATATTACTTTTGCCAAAGGCCTATGGAAGCAGTAAACTGTGGGCTAGAAACCGAGATGGAACTTTATGAACCAGGACTACTCGTGATGTGTCCTGGTCACCAAGCACCGAATGTCAGAGTTCACCAAATCTAAATACTAGTAACTAGACAGAAAAATCTCCATTTTAAAGGTACTTGTATGGCCAGAGAATCTCTACATCTAGAAAGCAAAGGCCTATGAGGTCTCAGCCTCCAAGACAATCAACCACTGAAGCGTATAAATCTACACCAACAAGACCCGAGCTTTGTTTGAGAGGGTAGAAATCGAGGTGACCGTATTGACCCAAGCAAGCCACGTCTCCACCAAGTCTCCAAGTGCCAGCATTCCTGCTGAGGACACGATGTGCTACAGGAGGCAACCACTGCGTATTCCTTTCCTTTTCCAAATGGATGTTTCTGTTGGGCTTCCCTGCTACCTCTCCCCCACTGTTCAGTGAGCGGGAGTTGAACTGGACTTGCGAGGACACAGTACTTGCAGGTCCTAGATCAGAGGATGGGCGTAATAACTGGACTCTTTGGGGAAAGGCTAATAATTTTTACACATGCTGGAGTGGCATTACTTTAACTTATCAAACTCAAGCACACACGCTTGGTAAGACAAACAAAAAAACAAACCAAAAACTAGACAGGAGGATTTAAACAGTGGGGGTAGTCTCTGCCTATACCCCCTGGCTCTGGGCTGAGCACCAGGGCAGATTAAAATCTATTCTCAATCTTATTTAAAAAAAAAAAAAAAAAGCTTATTGATTTTAGAGAGAGGGAGAGGGAGAGAGAAACACCGATGGGAGAGAATCATAGATTGGTTGCCTCCCCCAGACCAGGGGTCAAACCAACAACCTAGGTATGTGCCCTGACCGGGAATTGAATCAGCAACCTTTTGGTGCACGGGATGACACTCCAACCAACTGAGCTACACCAGCCAGGGCTCATCTCAAGTTTTGGTTGCTCTTAGTGTGAACATCTTGCTGAACTGAGAGTTACCCTGTTTATAAACAGATTTTCATATTACATGCCCCCTACTAGTCAAGCAACTAATCTTTCTGGTGCTCAACAGAAGGCCCAGCCATTTGGGCTTAAGCAGGAGTCAAAGTTGGACATGAGAGATGCTGTGCAGACCACCCACATGGCACCTGCCTGGGATCTCAGCTCCAACTTAGATCACATTCCTCAGTAACGAACAGTGGCACCGTTAAGCCTTTCTGAAAACACATATATGAAAATAACAGGATTAATGGTCAGGCAGCCAAGCAGTGGGCTGTGGGGAACATCCAGTTTCAATCTGCCCCGAATTTATTGCCCCTATTGTTGTTGTTGCCGAGGAAGGTTTCTATGTCTCCAAGCCTGAAAACAAAAGGTTTATTACTATTGCTCAACATCTTAAACTGACCCTTGCCATCCAGGTTACAAAGGTGAGGACTGTAATCTGGGCCTGCCAATCAGTGCATTCCAGTCCCTTAACTAAGGTGACTAGTTTGGGGATGGGCCCATGTTAACTAAGTGCACCCTTAACTAAGGTGACTAGTTTGGGGATGGGCCCATGAACAAAGAGGATGAATCAGTCAATCCTGGGATTTTTGTTGAAAAGTACGGGGTTCTTTACACTGGGAGTTATTAGGCAGTAGGGTGTAAGCCTGGAACTACTTGGCAACTGAGCCAACAGAGAAGAAAGCAGAGTTAAGACCTGGAAAGAGGCTGAGTCCCAACACCTTTGAGGGAGGTGCTAGATACAACCATGCTGAAAAGCAGTCCTACTGTAGGCTTTCACTTCTGTGAGCCAACAAACTCCCTTTTTTGTTAGAGGACAACTGAGTCAGATCACTACCACTGGCAACCAAGAGTCCACATAGACATGGCTCTTTAGTATTAACTATAACACAATGAACATTTGAGTGCTTATAGTATTTCATGCACCATGTTAATTGCTTTCCAAATGATTGCGTTATCTCATTTTCACACAACCTCATAAGGTAGTTTCTATTATCTCCTATTTTACAGGAGAAAACTAAGGTTTAGAGTGTTTAAATAACTTTTCTAAGATCCCACAGCCAGTAAGTATGCCTACACCAAAGTCCATGCTTATAGCCACTTTATAAAAACGATTGTAAAAAATATTTGAGCCCAGCCTGTGTGGCTCAGTGGTTGAGAGTCAACCCATGAACCAGGTCTCGGTTCAATTCCCAGTCAGGGCACATGCCCAGGGTTGTGTGCTTGATCCCCAGTAGGAGGCGTACATGAGGCAGCCAATCAATGATTCTCTCTCATCACTGAAGTTTCTAGTTCTCTCCCTCCCTTTAAAATCAATAAAAACATATTAAAAATATTTGAAGAATTTATTATATTGATACCATCTTACTTTATGATTGTATTTTAAAAAACTTTTCATTATTTTAAAAAAAACCTCTCCTTTATAAATAAATGCACATTGTAACTCAAACAA